GTATTTCTGTAGTGTCTGTTGTGATATTTACTTTTTCATCACAGATGTTAGTAATTTAAGTTTTCTCTCTCATTCCCTTTGTTAGCATGGCTAAGGGTTTGTCAATTTTATTTATTTTTTCAAAGAATGAAATTTTTTTGTCAATTTTTTTCAATTGTTTCTTTTGTTTCAATTTCATTGATTTGATTTCAGCTCTGATTTTAATTATTTCCTATCTTCTACTGCTTTTGGTGTTGATTTGTTCTTTTTCTAGGGATTTAAGATGTAATGTTAGGTAATTTATTTATTGACTTTTTATTTTTTGAAGAAATGAATTCCATGCAATGAACTTTCCTCTTAATACTGCCTTCATAGTGTCCCAGAGATTTTGATAGATTGTTTCCTGTGTTCTCATTTACCTCTAAGAATTTTTTAATCTCCTCCTTGATGTCTTGCAATCCATTGTTCATTGAGTAGCATATTATTTATTCTCCAGGTGTTGGAGTAGCTTTTATTTTTTTATTTTATCATTGATTTCTAATTTCATTTTATTATGATTTGATAGACTGCAAGGTAGTATGTCTATATTTAGCATTTGCTAAGAGTTGCTTTGTGGCATAATACATAGTCTATTTTAGAGAAGGATCCATGTGCTGCTGAGAAGAAAGTGTACTCTCTCATTGAAGGATGAAATATTTTATATATATCAGTTAAGTCTAAGTTATTGATTGTATTATTGAGTTCCATCGTTTCTCTGTTCAGCTTTTTTTTTGAGGCTCTATCTAGAGATGAAAGAGGTGAGTTGAAGTCACCCAAAATTATTGTGTTGTGATCTATTTGACTCTTGAACTTGAGAAGAGTTTTTTTGATGAACATAGATGCTCCATTGTTGGGCCATATACATTTATTATTGTTATGGCTTGTTGGTGTATGGTTCCCTTAAACAGATGAAATATCCTTCTTTATCTCTTTTGATTACCTTTGTCTTGAAGTCTACTTTATTTGATATGAGGCTGGAAATCCCTGCTTCCTTCCACAGTCCATGTGAGTGGTATGATTTATCCCAATCTTTTACCTTCAGCCTGTGGATGTCTTTTCCTATGAGTCTCTTGGAGGCAGAATATTGTTGGGTCTCTGTTTTTGATCCAATGCTAATTTATGTCTTTTGATTGGAGAGTTTAGGCCATTAACATTCAGGGTGATTATTAAGCAATGATTTGTATTCCCAGCCATTTTTGTTTATTTTTGGTATTTAACTTGACTTGGTTTCTCTTTTCATTAGTTTTTCCTTTAGTATAATACATCCCTTTGATGATTTTCATTGTTGTTTTTCATTTTCTCTTCATGGAATATCTTGGTGCCATGCAGGCTTTGTAGTTGTAAATTGTTCTAACTTTTGTTTACCATGGAAGGTTTTTATTTCATCATCAAACCTAAAGCTTAATTTTGTTGGAAATAAGATACTTACTTGACATCCATTTTCTTTCAGAGCTTTGTAGATGTTGTTCCATGATCTCCTTGCTTTCAGGGTCTGGGTTGAAAAATCTGGTGGGATACGAATTCATCTCCCCCTGTATGTGATCTGATTCCTCTTGAAGCCTTTAAGATTCTGTCCTTATTCTGAATGCTAGG